CCCCAAAACCCCAAAACCCCAAAACCCCAAAACCCCAAAACCCCAAAACGATAATTATCAATTGAAAAATTTAGTATGTTTTCAATAAGCGATTCTTTTTGTAACCCCACAGATTAGGCAGTAATTTTGGATGCTCACTTTTAAAAGTTTTACTTCCACAGAAATGCTTAGCTACAAAAGTCTAATCAAAGCTAAGATTAGGTCTGTTAGATGAAGGATCTTGTCTCCATTAATTATTGAGGCATAAAGAAGGAACAATTACTAAAAAAATGCTAGCTTCTTCAAGAGCTTTTAAATAATGGTGCTGTATAAAATGTAATTTTTATTTAAAATTCTTCTCTATTATTCCTTATTTATCCATATTAGCTTTAGGGAGATCACTAGAGTTGTCACTAAGCAAGTCTAAATCTTCTTCAAATATTATTGAAAATAAATGACATCGTTGACCGAGAGGTTTCCTCTCTCTTCATTGATTTGCTTCCTGGATCGGGCAAGAGTCTCACTTGATGTCTCATAAGACCTGCTCTGCTCATAGTTATTATCATTAATAGATTGTTCCCCAAAAGATAATCTGTTATTGTAGGAATTCCCAATTTTTGAGCTTTGAGAGAGATACCTGTGCCGGTAGTCATCAGTGATTACTTTAATCGAATATGATAAGTAAACTGAAGGGATTATATCCACTACTATGAAATAGATTGAGAGGCCAATAGCGACACCTATTGACTCTTTTTCCAGCCATTGTAATCTCATTGTTTCATCTCCTTCCAGAATTACTACAATTAAGTTGGTTGCTCCTCTGATGAGAAATGAGGTGAAAATGATAAAAATACTTATGATTACTCTAAGTTTAATTCTTTTAGCATTTTCTGGTGAAATTCTCTTAAATTTAGTGTAGAAAATAATGCCGGCTATAGCGAAAACGGCACCAACTATCAGGAAAGTGGATGAGTAAATACCTCCAAATACTATGAACACTGTTTTATCCAGATTGTTAATAGTTCATGCTAGCAATGTCAAACTGAGGTACACTATCAACTCAAATACCAGGCTCACTATTAAGGCGATATGGTATCCTCTTTGGTCTTTCTTTGAGCCAGTTTCCATTTTCTCCAAACGCAAGGTTTGGTATAACCAATTAAATATATTTGAGATAATTGCTGATGTTAGCATTGCTGCATTCAGCCAATGGATCGTTCCTTCAATTCAGATCGGAGGAGGCTCAATTCAGGTGCCTTTTCTGTACGCTAGCTCAATCCCGAAGAAGAAAATTCTTCCCAGAGCTGAGAGTCACACAAGAACAAGAAAAATTAGCTGCATTTTCTTCTTCAGTCTGAACACTTTGACAAATTTATGAGTCCATCCTGTGATCAATGCGAAGGTGATCGTATTAATAACCAGTAGAACAGTCAAAAATATTCTGTACTTTGTGCAGCTTGGCTTGTTTCCTAATGATACATCTGAGGAGAGAAGAACATAATCTCTTAATAATGAGTCGCTCATTTTCAATTTTGGATTATAATTTTGGGGTTTTGGGGTTTTGGGGTTTTGGGGTTTTGGGG